CAAGATTGATTGCACGGTCAAGAAACTGAATATAAAATGTTTTGAAAGTTATTCGAATTCGTGTGGAGCGCTGATCCAAAGCGGTCACGGTCTACAGCCGCGTGGCTTCAATTGTACCTCAAAACCATGGCACACTTCTTCAGAAAAGCTTGGAAGGAATAGCACGATACAGCTGAAAAGGAGGATTGCGAACCTAACTAAACTGAAATCTTTTTCAGTTTGAAGTCCCTTTTGAGCTTAAGCGCTGATCCAAGTGATATTGTCGCTTACCTAAATCGTTTTCTACAATGACACATGGGCGCCTCTTTCGTGTGGAGCTACGAGATGGAATAATACAAGGAATGAAACGGGTTTGCTTGGCCTTTTGAAAGCTGCTAAATACTATTTTGTTGTAAGGAAAGTTCCTGCCGTTTTTGACAGCTCACCTTCCAATAGTTCCGAATTTTGCATATTAATAGAAAGCGTGTTCTTTGCTCCACTTAAAGGAGGATTTCACGATTAGATTGAAGGTCGAAGAAAGGGAAACTGACGTAGTTGGGGGACCCACGGACCTCCTAAGAGTGCGAACTGACGCGCAGTTCGCATGGAAAAATATGACCTCGGCGACCTATCATGCCTCAAAGCTGGCGGGTGCGGCGATCTCCGCCCACCGATCATCTGATCACTCGCCGTAGTTCAATACTTGGCGAGTGATTAGATAGCTGAGAGAGCGTAGTGTTGAAGAGGGCACAGCGATGAGAGTCGCATCAATGCTCGAATCAACGGGCAAGGAAGGCCCGCGCGGTCAGATTTCTTCGGTTCTGCGGGCCGTTCTCACAATGGTTTCTTCTTCTTTAGCTGAGACCAACTAACCAATCCCATAGGTTAACTTGAAATGGTTCTTTTCATCGGTCGAATTCGTCTTTTAAACTTCATTTTTCATCTACTGTAGCTTCGCCTATACTGAGCCCGACTCCTCCACTTTCAAGATCTCGAGACGCCACATGTTAACGAGCGCACATGCCGCACACGACTTTCTTCCTAACTCAATTAGCAGGTAGACAAGGGAACGGAGTCGCACATGTTTTAAAGTATGGTTTGCTTGCATTCCGCGAAAAGTGCTTGTAATCTTCTCT